GAGTACCCATCTCGTCTTGAAACCGCTTCCACAACCTAGAGGTGAAGCGAACATCTCGGTTTGACAAAACCGACACCGGCACTCCATGACGTGCCACCACCTCGCGTACATAGATCTCAATTAGCTTCTCAGCCGATATACTCTCCTGGATGGGGATGAAATGAGCACTCTTGGTCAACCGATCCACGATGACCCAAATCGAATCTACTCTACGTGCGGTCCTGGGAAGCTTCGTGATGAAATTCATAGTGATATCTTCCCATTTCCACATGGGAATATCCAACGACTGCTTCTTGTCGTCAGGTCGTTGGTGTTCGGCCTTGACTTTCCTACAAGTCAAGCACCGCTCCACATACCATGCTATGTCCCGCTTCATGCAGGACCACCAATAATCAGCTCGCAGATCCCGGTACATCTTCGTCGCCCCGGGGTGAATGAATAATCTCAACTTGTGTGCCTCCTCCATAAGAACCCAGCGCACTCCACCCCAGTAAGGACCCAGAAGCTCTGATGCAGGGTCAACAACCCACGACTGTCATAATCAAATGAGGCCACTTGGCCTATGATCCACTCACACTTCCGGCGCTCCTCCTTCACACCCTCAACCTGCGCCTCCCGGATCCGTTCCAGCAACGGAGTAATCATTGTCATCCTCAGACATATGTCTCGAATCAGAGCTACCACTGCCTTGAGGCTAAGAGCATTGACCACCACATTGTCCTTCCTAGGGTGATAAAGGATCTAACAGTCGTAATCCTTTACCACTTCCAACCAAGGGCGCTGCCTCATGTTCAGATTTGGCTGATCCATCAGGTACCTCAAGCTCTTGTGGTCCGTGTAAATGGTACAACGAACCCCATAGAGGTAGTGTCACCAAATCTAGAAGGTGAAAACCACATCCCCCAGCTCCAAATTGTGTGTCGGATAGTTTGCCTCATGAGGCTTCAGCTGCCTCGACCCATACACAATTACGTGACCCCGCTGCATCAGTACTGCACCCATACCCATTATCGAAGCATCACAGTAAACCACAAAATCATCGACACCCTCCGGCAAGGTTGGAATCGGTGCCTCGCACAATCGCTGTCTGAGAGTCTCGAAAGCTGTCTGCTGATTAGACCCCCAATGGAATGTCGCTGACTTCTTGGTCAGTCGGGTCAATAGAATAACAATCTTGGAGAAATCCTGGATGAATCTCCGATAATAACCCGCTAGACCAAGAAAACTCCGAATCTCAGATCACTACTACAAAAAGACCCTTTTACGACGCGCAAACCACGACACTCATTAATTTATGTTACGCAAAAGAGAGTGACCTTAAAATGGTGTCATCTCTTAAAAAATTTTAAGTATTTGGGTCATGCATTATTGCGTGCCCTTAAATTAGTGTCTCAAAGAAAAAAACTAATAACACGGAGGGCACTTTATATTAAATGTGCGTCCTCTATAATCGTCGTCTTTTAATTTTAGTGAAACGCACACTTGTTACAAAAATCGAGGTACGCACTACTAAAATATCCTAGGGCTTTTCAAACAAAAATCAAAACACTCACTGCACTCTCTACAATCAATCGTCGACTCTCGCCTCGCCTTGCAGACAACGTCTTCTCCGACGACGTTAGGTTACTTCTCCTCCGGCTGACTTCGCCTCGCCGACGACCTTGGGCTCACGTGACATCGTTGGAGACTGCTCAATTTTACATGCCCGAGGTCCGATTAAGGTATTGGAGAAGTTAATTGAGCTTGGTGTTCCTGTTGAAACGATTCAGGCAAAGTCAACTTCCCCAGTTGGCCAGAGAACCAAGTAACATAAGAGAAAGAGCAGAAGAAAGTCAACACAAGGGGAAGAAGCGCCTGGTAGCCTAGAATCTGATGATAAATCGAACACATTCAAGGGTTTCTCCCCTTCTGAAGCTTTTCAAGTTGAACACAAGGTAACATTTCAAGAAAACCGATGCTCTTAGTTGGGTTTTTCACCTTCCGATGCTTCTCAAGTTGAACACAAGGTAACATTTCAAGAAAATCGTAATTCTAGGGGTTTATTCACACATCTGGTTCGAGATCAATTTCTCCATTGCCCTCTCTCTCTCTCCCTCTCTCAAAACATCAAACAATTTCTCAATTTCTCCTAGGTTTCCATCTTTCATCTTGTTTTCATCTGTGACTCCTTGATCGCCTCCTTCTCTCCTCAGCGTTTCATCTGCCACTATCTAGGAAATTTTTACTTTTCTTGTTCCCTTCAATTTCAGTTTTAGCTTAAGTGATGTAAAATTTGTTAACTTGTGCTATTTCATGCAGCTTGATATGCTACAAGAAGAGAATGATAATGTCCTTGCAAAGGTGGGTTCTAATTATGGTATTCTCTGTTTATATATATCTGGTCTTCATTGTTCAATTTATATTGTGCAGCTCAGGTTTGTTGAAGAAAGTTGTCAGGATGCAGAGATGAGGGTTAAGGAGCTTGAGAAGCAGGTGCTCACCCATATTCTTCTTATTTTGTGTCTATCATATATTGGGATCTAAAAGGTTACATACTTCCTATTCCCACTGAAATAATAAATATGCTCTAATTAATCTAATCGTTTCACCATTTTGAACTTAAGAGTTACGACACTCATATCCCTATTTTTTATTTAAATGTGAGCCCCTTCTTTTATTCACTTCACTAGCTATTAGTTTTTTCTTGAGTTAATATGGTCTTGGTAGTTGTGTCTCGCCACTTGCCATCATTCTTAATCTTTCAACGTATCATTTAGGTGGCTGCTCTTGGTGAAGGAATATCTTTGGAAGCGAAATTGTTAAGCAGGTTAATAATATCCTATCAAATGCATTAGTGTCAAACTGTCAATGTATTTTCTTTATTGCTGCCTTCTCCACAATGCTAATCTATGCAATTTCAATTTGTTTTTAGGAAGGAAGCTGCATTGCGCCAAAGAGAGGTAGCTATATCTGTTAAATGATTTATTTTTTCGCTCATCTTATGTTCTTGAAGTTACTGGCCTTCAGACAGTTGATAATATATATTTACTTTTTACCATTGATTTACTTGTACATTGACAGGATGCACTGAAAGAGGCCAAAAAAGCTAAAGATGGAGTAAACGAAAGAATAGAGTTTCTGATGCATCGGGTGTTAGGAATACAAAAGAGGTGAAAACCAGAGATAACAAGTTAGAGGATGCAATTGAAGCAGCATTGCTTAAGAAGCTCAGATTAGTTAGAAAGAATAGAGTTTCTGATCTATCTGATGAATCATCTGCAGAGGTGTTGACTGATTATCAAGGTCAGCTTTCACGAAGTTCCATTGTTGACCATTCTAAACAGTCAAACGGTAACAATTTAAAGAATTTTGAAGGAAAGCATTCAACAATGGAGCTATCTAGCTATGATCCTGTGTCAAAGTCTTCTTCACTTTTGAAAGTTCCAGCTATTCCTGATCACGAATACATCTGGAAGTATGGTTTCTTTTGTATTGAGTACTTTTATTCTTCATCCGTGATCTGTTTTTAGTTGATAAACATTGTTCATGTTATTTGCAGGGGAAGTTTTTTGATTAATAGAAGTGGTAAAACAGCTGAATTTTGGAATGGGTTACAAGCTCATTTGTCAACCTGTGTATCGCCTAAGAGAGAAACACGATGAACAAGTAAGACTTACATTTTATCAGTAGTAGCTCAGCTCTTTTTTTTTTAATAATAATCTCAGACCATAAATTCTTTTGATCAAAAAATTGTCTGAAACAATATTAGTTTTTACTGCTGAATTTCGTTCATGAGAGATTATGTTCCATTTACATTTCGAGTGAAAAACTTTCTTTTGAGAAAACGAGTTATTATTATAGATGAAAAAGGTTTAGCATTTTGATGAGGTGGAAGTATGTGATTTGTAATTATAAAGATGTTACATAACACAGGGAACAAGTTTTGAGGTTGATGAAGAGATGTGTTGGGATGATGAGGATAGGGAGGCTTTGCAAGAGATCATTAACAATACCAAACTAAGTGAAGGCTATCTTACCCTTGCTCAAGATATTAAAGTCATGGAGCCCAAATCTCCCGAAGACATATATAAGGTTGGACCATTTCATAATTTTTAGGGTAAATTACACCAATAGTCCCTCGTGCAGGTGCCAAAAAGCATGTTTAGTCCCTATTTTCAAAAATTAACTCGGACCGTCCCTTATACCATAAAAAGGTACATATTTCGTCCCTTGTTACTTTAAATTTGCATGCTTCATCCCTTGTGAGAATTGGAATGACTTAAATGCCCTTTACAATTTATTTTTCATTTATTTTTAATATTTATTATTAATTTATTAAACTTAATATCTATATATCTATCTTTCTGTTTTGTTGAAGAAGACTTAAGCACCACCACCACCACTTGACTGCACAAACACCACCGGAATGCACAACCACCACCGAAATCTCCACAAACATCACCAGAATGCACAACCAACCACCACTTGTTCCCCAGAAAAATAACCACAAAACCACCACCTCCTTCACCATCGCCACCCTCCTGTACAACAACCGATGACCACACCCTTTGAACACTACCTGTCACCGCTCCATCATCATTACCGTCGGAGGATCTAGCCTTTTGCTGGAGTGCAGATCTGAACGGTAAGGTAGAAGCTTAGGGAGTGCTGCAGATCCAATACCCTCTCGCCGGAAAAACGAGAGACAGCTAGGGGTTTGGTGCAGCGATGGACCACCCACATTTTCCAGCGCAACCGCCTCAAATATTCCCTTCTCCATTCCCCTCCAATAGTGAAACCTTATTCTATCTTCTCAGTTCGATCGACAACCACAGATCGAGAATCGGAAACCAGATTTGCTACCCTATCGTCGGGAATGAGGATGATGACGTAGATGCAGATGAAGGGTGTTGGCAGTTCGTTCTATCTTCTCAGTTCGTTCTTCTTTTTCTGTTCAATGAGGATGATGACGCAGATGAAGGGTGTTGGCAGGAGTGCAGTTGAAGGGTGGTGTACAGACGATGAATGATGGCGGCGATGGTTGCTCTGATGATTTCCTTGCTCCTATGGTGGCTGAGATAGAGTTCGTGAGATGCACAGAAAGAAATGGAGGAGATGTGTGGTCATCGGTTGGGTTGCAGAAGAGAGAAGACGGTGGATGAATAGATTTCGTCGGTGGCTGCTTCATGGTTGTCGGCGGCTTCATGGTTGCAGTCTGTCGATAGTTAGAGAGGAAAAGGGGAAAACGAGTACGGGGAAAGAAAAGGGGGGGGGGGTGAAGATACGTTTTTTTCTTTTTTTATTTTTAATGTAAAAATAATAAAGGAATAAAAGAAAATTAAAAAAGAAATTGTTAAGGGTAAAATAGTCTTTTTATGTCTGGATGGACTAAGCGTGTAAGAAAAAACAAACCTAGGGACCGTCCGAGTTAATTTTTGAAAATAGGGACCAAACGTGCTTTTGGGCACATGCACGAGGGACTAATGGTGTAATTTACCCTAATTTTTATATCATATTTATAATTTATAATTAATAATAAACAATTAATTTCTCTTTATTTAGGCACACTTACTGGATGGGCGGGCAAGTGCTGGTGCAAGTGTTGATTCAGCCAGGCAAAACCTGGCAGCTACATTTGTGAATGCTTTTGTAAATGCTGGCTTTGGTCAGGTATTTATTATTTTTCGACTACTTTTGTCAAAATAAATAAATAATCTAATAATTTAAGTTATGTTTCTCTTTTCAAGGATAAACAAATGACAGTCCCACCTGAGGCTTCAAGTAGTGGCTCTTCTGGGAATTGGCTTTTTAAGAACAAAGAACATGGGAAAGCCAGTGCTGCTACAAGTTTGGTAATATTATTAGGCTTAAGTAATTTGTTTATTCTCTGCTATTATTGGCTCATGAACGAAATTCAGCAGCACTATCTTGATCGTTATTTCATTGCTCGAAGGTCCCTACCTGCACTTAGTGAAGTTGGTCTGACTTGTTTTCGTGAATCAGTTAGTATTCTTTTCAACAGATAGTTAATAACAGGTTTTGGTTTATTAATTGCTAACTAATGAAATTTTTTTTTGGAGTACAGGTTTATGAAGAGGCTAAGGGTAAAGCTAAAGATGCTGTTATTGCACTTGTAAGTTGTTTTATATGCTCATGCACCAATTTCTGTTGGTGATGTAGAGTTGAAGTTAACATTGCTTGTGATCCAGATTGATCAAGAACGTGAAGGAGAGCAGATTGATAGAGCATTATTGAAAAATGTCATTGGTATATATGTTGAAATTGGAATGGGACAGATGGATTTCTATGAGAAAGACTTTGAAACTGACATGCTTGTTGATTCTGCTGGTTATTATTCTCGGAAAGCATCAAACTGGATTGTAGAAGATTCATGTCCTGATTACATGTTGAAGGTACATTCCATTATTGCCACTCCTCTTGGTTATAATTACTGTTGTTGGTGTAGGGGATGTTCCTTTTTTCAATTAAGAACTGTATTTCCATTAAGAACTGTATAATTACGGTTGGATTGTTTATTTAGATTTGTTTGATTGAATTCTTGTATGGAACACAGGCCGAGGATTGTTTAAGGAGAGAAAAAGAAAGAGTAGCTCACTATCTGCACTCAAGAAGTGAATCAAAGCTCTTAGAGGTTGGGTTTTCTGAGATGAGTTTATGGCATTTCATTGTTTCAGCATCTAATTTAATGACTTGATATTTATATATTTTCTTTTTACCCTCACAGAGAGTGCAAAACGAATTGTTGGTGGTATATAGCAGTCAATTGCTTGAAAAAGAGAATTCTGGATGCCGTACCTTACTTCGAGATGATAAGGTATTTAAGGATTTTCACATTTAAGGAGCATCTGCATCATGATTCTTATCTAAATAAATTATCATGTTCATTGACAAACAGGTGGACGATCTGTCGAGGATGTATAGGCTCTTCTCTGAAATTCCCAAAGGATTAGATCCCGTTGCTAATATGTTCAAGCAGGTAGGTATTATTTTCCTTATAAGAGATTGTCTAGATTTCAGCTTTTGATGGAGTGCCTGATGATTTGATTTGATTATTGTTTGGGGGTGATAGCATGTTACTGCTGAAGGAATGACTCTAGTCCAACAAGCTGAAGAGGCTGCAAGTAACAAGGTAATATTCAACCCAACTTTTAATCTTTTTCTTGTTAAGACATTGTACTTTGAAAAATCTACCCCCAATTATGCCATTTAATCTACTAGATTTTTCAAAGTACAATGCTGTAATGGAAATAATTGGAAGTAGAATGTTGTAATAAACAGATAAATGGGGTGTCTCGCATTAGTGCTTGGCTAGAGAAATTTGAAAATAGTGGTGTAAAGTAGGACAAAATTGCACTCTATTTCTTTGATAAAAATGTGGAGAGGTAACATTTAACTTTATGTTATTCTTCCTTGGGGGTGTGTTTTGAGGAAAGAAGAAGAAACCTGATCGTCCTGCAAAAAATGGTATCCTCATGTTAAAAGCATAGTATGTCTAATAATACAATGAATGTGGATCAGGCTCGAATGCAAGAGATGAAGGAGAAAGAGCTAAATTCTCATGTATGTTTCGAATCTTGTTCATCCAACATTCATTACTCATTACCTTACCCTAATACCCTCTCTATATAATTTTATCTAAACTTTTTGTATATATTTTTATTTTTGCAGTGTGTAAATCTTGTTTAGTTGCGTTGCATGTTCCGAGTGTCCAATTTGCCATGCCAAGATTGCTGATAGAATTTTTGCTTTCACATCTTGATATTTGCACTTTACTCCCCTCCCATTCCCTCCCTCCAAGGTATTATTTATATACCAAAACCAACTCTTGCTTTCTGTTTCTGATGATGATATCATTTGTCTAATATTTATATGGTTTCTTTTATGCAGATTTGTAATAATATTCACCTCAACCTCAACCTCACTTGCTGCCTGGTTATATTTTGTGTTGCTTAGTGGGTGTCATTCTTTAATTGGCCAAGCTGTATGTAAACTACTACTACTACTAAAGTTACGAATTCTTACTAATCATGTGTGATTTGCAGAGGAAAGGAAGGAAACTGATCTAGGTCTTATATGAGGAAGTATGAATATAATGTGTCGAATTTAATGGTTTTGGAGGATTATGTTTATAGAGATTTATGGAAGGCATGTGCGGGTCCACTAGTAGATGTTCCAAGAGATGGAGAAAGAGTTTTCTACTTTCCTCAAGGCCACATGGAGCAAGTAAGTATTTCCTTCAAAGTCTCTCATATCGTTTATATTTTACTTCTATTCTTCTTCTTAAATCTTGATTATATACGGTTTTTGCTCAGTTAGAGGACTCCAACAATCAGGAAATCGATCAGAGTATTCCTCACTTCAATCTCAAATCAAAGATTCTCTGTCGTGTTGTTTATACTCAGCTTCTGGTAAGTATGTACACATGTTGTTCTTACAGTGCGTGATTTGGATTATGAAGTTTTAGAATCTAGATTTTGTTACCATTACAAGCTGAACAAGATACAGATGAAGTTTATGCTCAAATCACTCTACTTCCAGAAGCAGATGTAAGAGTTCACATCTTAAATTCTTTACAATTTATAACCCTTTGAAACTGTTTTCTTTTCTAATAATGAATAGCAAAGTGATCCTACTAGTCTTGATAAATGCATTGATGACCCTCCAAAGGCAAGTATCCACTCTTTCTACAAAGTCTTAACAGCTTCAGACACAAGCACTCATGGTGGTTTTTCAGTGCTCAGAAAACACGCAAATGAATGCCTACCTACATTGGTAATTTCACTCTCTTTCTTTACTTCTAGTTTCATATGTTTTCAACAGTTTAATGTTCTAATTTTTTTGAAGTATTTTTGTTCAGGACATGTCTCAACCTACTCCTACTCAAGAGCTTGTAGCTAAAGATCTTCATGGGATTGAGTGGCGATTTAAGCATATATTTAGAGGTCATTCATTATGTTCTCATGTTTATACTTTATATGTTAGTACAGAACATATATATTTTTTATTTTATTAAAAATTTAAAAGTAAGATCTTTTTTTGGTTGACCAGGTCAACCGCGAAGGCATTTGCTTACAACAGGATGGAGTACTTTTGTTATTGCTAAAAGATTGGTGGCTGTGGATTCATTTGTATTCCTTAGGTATTAATTGCAATGTTTAAATGTTTTTCAAGCATCTAAAAGACTAACATACCCTTTTCTTTGTTTTACTATGTGATCATTTAAATGTAATTATAGGGTCGAAAATGGGGAATTACGTGTTTGGAGTCAAACGTGTTGGTCAACAACATAGCTCCATGTCATCTTCAGTGATTAAGGAACCGGTGACAAACCAATGATATGGAGGATTTTTTTTGACATGAGGTTCCCCTTAATAGCAATGTAGCATTAGGTTATATAGTTAGGGAAAACCTCTTAATAATAATGTACAATCAGATCCCCTTAATATCAATGTATTACAATTTTTTGACATGATTTTATTGGATGAAATTAATTGTTTTGGTATATATTTGTTTATATAATTTTGTATTATGCATAAATGAGTATCGTAAAGACAGTCGTATATGCATATCGTAAATGGTTCCTGAAGTTTATGACACGCAAATGCGTGTCATTATCATTTATGACAGGGGCTTTAATGATACGCAATGCGTGTCCTAAACACGCGTCGTAAGGTTACGACACGCATTTGCATGTCATCTTCCTTTATAATAGGGCCTTCCTTGACATGCAATGCGTGTCGTAAATGAGTGTCGTAAATGCGTGTCGTAAATGCGCGTCGTAAATGCACGTTGTAAATAGACGACGCACAAAAGCGTGTCGTCTTTCATTATGACAGGGCCTTCCTTGACACGCATTTTCACGTTGTCTGAGCGTTTTACGACACACATTGTGCGTCGTAAAATGCTATTTTTCTAGTAGTGGATGGAGACCTCGGAACCTCCTACTGCATCACGGCCTCTACCTTGGCCGGATCGACCAGAATACCCTTCTGGTTGACAAGGTGCCCCAAAAACTGCACCTCGCACAACCAGAACTCACACTTGGAGAACTTTGCGAAAAGTCTCTCCCTCCTCAGTATCTCCAGCACCTCCCTCAGGTGCTCCTCGTGCTGTTCCTGAGTCTTAGAGTAAACCAAGATATCATCCATGAAGACTATCACAGACCGGTCCAACATCAGTCTGCATACGCGGTTCATGAGATCCATGAACGCGGCAAGAGCATTGGTGAGACCAAACGGCATCACCACAAACTAGTAATGACCATAGCGAGTCCGAAATGCTGTGTTCCGCACATCGTCATCCTTCAATCGCATCTGGTGATAACCTGATCACAGATCAATCTTGGAGAACCAAGATGCACCCTGAAGTTGGATCCTCGGGAGGGGATAACGGTTCTTCACTGTTACCTTATTCAACTCCCGGTAATCTATATACATCTGATGTGACCCATCCTTCTTCTTCACAAACAGAATTGGGGCTCCCCATGGCGAACTACTCGGCCTGATAAATCCCTTGTCTAACAACTCTTGCAGCTGTGTAGACAACTCCTTCATCTCGGGAGGAGCCAAGCAATATGGTACCTTGGCTATCGGAGCCGCACCAGGAACTAGGTCAATCCTGAAATATATCTGCCTCTCCGGAGGTATCCCAGGCAAAGCCTCTGGGAACACATCCGGGTACTCCCGTACGATCGGTACATCATCCACGGTAGCCTTACCCTTATCCCGAGTATCCATAACATAGGCGACATAACCTGCACAACCCTGCTGAAGGTAGCGCCTAGCTCTCGCGGCTGAACACAAAGTCAGCCCATGTTGCAGCCTCTCGCCCCGAATCACCAACCCTCCCCCACTTGGGGCCCTAACTCGTACTAGTTGATGCTCGCAGTCGATCACTACCCCATTAGGGCTCAACCAGTCCATACCCACGATAACCTTATTCCCTCGTAGGGGAAAAGGGACTAAATCCATGGAAAACTGCTCATCAAACAACTGTAGTGTACATCCCCGGTGAACCCTCGCAACCCGAACGGTCCTATCCTCCGCTATCTCTACATCTAGTGGACAGTATAGCTCTCCTGGAGCTCCAACAAATTGCTTTCTCAACGCGAGCGATACAAAAGATCGGGTAGTCCCTGAATCAAATAATACCAGAGCAGATATACCGTTCACAAGGAACGGTCCTGTAATAAAACACATAAAAACAAGCAATAATCAATGTATATAAAGAGATAAGGAGAAGATACATACCCGTCACAACATCGGGAGCTGCATGTGCCTCCTTCGCAGTCCGCTAAAAAGACCTACTCCTCGTTGTAGGCGCCTCTGTCTGGCCATAACGGCCATCGGTAATCCTCAGTGTAGTAGGAGCGGGTACCGCCACATGTCCTGATGCTACTAAACTTGGGCACTGGGACTTCTTGTGGCCCCTCTGATTGCACTGGAAGCAAATCAGATCAGATACTGTGGTGGTGGTGGTGGTGGTGGCAGTACAGTCCCTGCTGACATGACTAGTTCGGTCGCACTTAAAGCAGCCCGAACTACCTGCCCTGCATGCCCCCTCGTGCATCTTGCCGCACTTGCCACAGCGGATGCGGCCCTGCTGGCTCCTTGATCTGTGATCCGATACCTTGAGCTTTTTGCCTGAGCTCCCTATTTGAACACCCTCTAGTTTCCTCTTCTTCTCCATCTCCAAATCTAGCTCCCTTTCCCGAGCCCTCGCTATCATATCCTCCAGCGTCTTGCAGCTGGAGTGGCTAACAAACTGCCAGATATCGCTCCACAGCATCTCATGGTATCGGGCCTTTTCATCTCCTCGTCTACCACATATTGTGGAACGAGAAGGGCCCTCTCCCTGAACATGACGATGATCTTAGTCACCGCCTCAGTCGTCTGTTGGAGATCCTTGAACTCCCGTGCAAGCTGTTGCATCTCAATCACAGGTGCGAACTCAACCATGAACCTGGTCGTAAATTCACTCCAGATCATAGTAATGGGTGCCCACTGCATGCCCAACCTCCTCGCACTAGTCCTGTTCCATGTGCTTCAGGAGACAGGAAGCAAGTCGGCCCTTGTCCCCCTCGGGACATCTGCTGGTGCAAAAGGCGTTGGCGACATCCGACAACCACCTTCTGCTCGCAATGAGGTCCCTAGCCCCATGATAGTCTGGGGCCCCACAAGCTCGGAACTCCCTGAATGTCATCGTGTGCACCCCCATCATGGCCGCCATCTCAGTGCATAATGCACCCAGTCTCTCATCCAAAATCTCCAAAATAGCCTCCTGGACCGTACCGAAGATCACAGGAGTCTGGTCAATGATACTGCGCGTGATCTCAGATGAAATGAACTCCCTCATCTGGTCATCGAGCTGCCCGACTCCAGAGCCCGAGCCTGATCCCTCTCCAGCGCCATAGCTGCCAACTGGCCTAGTGCGTAGCGTCACCATATTGAAAATACACCATAAAAATCATCAGAATACTCTGATGGGTTTTGAGCACTATAACATCCCTATGGTGCACATACAACCCTAATGTTTTGGATCTAAGTTTTCTCTAATTATACATGCAATTTCATTTTTTATATGCATGAAGCCTAACTAGCATACAAATTTGATATTTTAATCATAAAAACTGGTTAGATGATTACCTCTTGTTGTAGCTTGTAGATGTTGGCCTTTCAAGAGCTTAGCACCTCAAGTGTGATGCCTCAAATATTTCACAAAACACCACCAACAATTGGATGACAATGATAGAGAGCTTGGAGCACCAAAATCGACTATATCCTCTTAGAATACTCTTTGTCCGGTTTTAGGGGCTTAGAGGTTACATATATAGTGTAGAATTCCAAGAGTCACTTGTAAACCCTAATTCTTACACTTAGGCTTATGATCCAACAATTGATTTGGACTAACACTTCATGGACTATCTCATAAGCTTAGTCTATCATAGATTAATCATGGATCATTAGCCTAAACCATATGTATCACTGATTTACATAATCAGTCCCCGTTAATTTAATCAGTCTCTTTTGATCACTAAATTAATTCCAAATTAATTCTTGATCAATACTAATTAAATAATATGATTTCTCAATTAATATATTATACTTATAATATATTAATAAATCATAAATAACCTCTTTCTCAAATATCTATCCTATCAAATTGTTCTGGTGAATGCAACCCAAAATGGACCATGCTACTATCGGGTCAAGTACATACCAATTATAGTTATGGGCTTAGACACCTAATCCAACAGTCTCCCACTTGGATAAGTCTAATAACTATAATTGCCAATGCAACTTCAAAATCTGATTAACAATCGTACCTCTCAAAAGCCGTTGTCGAATTCTGACGCGTCCTTTATATAAGGGATCATATAATCCTCTTTTCTTCAAGATATCATGCGGACAAATACATGGAACATAGTCATACTTATTGTCCAGCAGTTCGTTTCCCGATTTCTGATTTGTTTGACATAGAACTTAATTGAACACATAAATTGAGTCCTGACCGGGCCCGACACATTAGTCAAGACAAAATCATCGAGGTGCCCAAGATATTGCTTTTAATCCTCTTAGGATAAAAGGAACAGATAAACTTTGACTTATATGCTTGTACTAATTACTTGTTAAATTATACACAACAACACGTTTTATAACATCAAGTTACTGATGCGTTTTTGCACTATCAATGCACAACCAACTTGTAATCAACAACTCATATATCTTGGTTTGAAGACTATGTGATATTATCGTCTCACAATCACTCGTGATAAATTCCATGAAGTGATTCATGTGAGCGTGGGTTTAATCCAATACTCAAATCTTATTTCAGGAGCACTCATGATTGTTGTAGCAAACTTTTGCTATGTCTAAACACTTTAGACAATCTACAAGCCAATTCATGATAGTCTTGTCTCAATACCTACTTCCAAAGTATGATCGACTGTGGATGGTTTGAATAATCTTATTATTCTGGAAGTCAAAACATGCAAAACGAAACAATAGTAAACGATTGACACAAGATAGTAACTTTACTCATAAATAAAACTCCTTTTATTTAATCATCAAATTCCAATTACATTTTATCTATTACAAGTTTCTAAACAGCTATCTAATTATTAAAACTAATATCGTCCTTCAGCCCAATACTTCTAGCATGCCGCAAGTGCTTAACCCTATCCAGTCCCTTCGTAAGGGGATTTGTTGGGTTCTCCTCTAATGATACCCTCTTTACTACAAGGAGTCCTTCTTCTACTCGATGTCTTATGAAGTGATATTTTCTATCGATG